GACAGGGATACAGAAACAGTAGCACCATTTAATATTTCATTCTATTACAATGACTCAAACACCAACTTTATTACATACTAGATTATCATATATATTAGGATCTATTTCTGGTTTGTTTTCCTTTTTTCACATTCTTTTTTTATATTCCTTTTCACTACAGTTTATCACAGGATATTTAATATAGGTATACAGAAGGACCTTGTTGTTTATCTGTCCTGTATATACTAGTTTACATCAGCTAAGCTCACACTCCCAGTCCTTCCCTCTCTCCCCCTTTCCCTCTTGGCAACCAAAAGTCTGTTCTCTGTGTCTGTGAGTCTATTTTTGTTTTGTGGATAGGTTCATTTGTGCCATATTTTAGGTTGCACATATAAGTGAATGTCATATGATATTTGTTTTTCTCTTTCTGACTTACCTCACTTAGTATGATAATCCCTAGTTGCATTTATGCTGCTTCAAATGAGATTCTTTTATTCTTTTGATGACTGAGTAGTATTCCATTGCATATATGTACCACACCTTCTTTGTGCATTTATCTGTCAATGGACATTTATGTTGTCTCTATTACTTGGCTATTGTGAATAAAGCTGCTATGGACATAGGGGTACATGTATCTTTTTTAATTATAATTTTGTCTGTACATATGTCCAGGAATGGGATTGTTGGATCATGTGGCAATCCTATTTTTAGTTTTTTGAGGAAACTCCATACTGTTTTCCATAGCAGCTATACCAAATTACATTCCCACTGACAATGTAGGAGAGTTCCTTTTTCTCCACACTCTCTCCAGCATTTGTTATCTGTAGACTTCTTAATGATAGCCATTCTGACCAATGTGATGTGATACCTCATTGTAGTTTTGATTTACATTTCTCTAATAATTAGTGGTGTTGAGCATCTTTTCACATGCCTACTGGCCGTTTGTCTTCTCTGGACAAATGTCTATTAAGGTCTGCTCAATTTTCAACTGGATGGTATATTTTTTGTTGTTGAGCTGCATGAACTGTTTGAAGATTAAGCCCTTGTCTTTTGCATCATTTGTAAATATCTTCTTCCATTCTGTACATTGTCTTTTCATTATTTTGGTGGTTTCCTTTGCTTTTCAAAAGTTTGTAAGTTTAATGAGGTACCAATTGTTTAATTTTGTTTTTATTTCTATTACTTTGGGAGACTGACCTAAGAAAATGTTGGTGAGATTTATGTCAGAGAATGTTTTGTATATGCTCTCTTCTAGGAGTTTCATGGTGTCATGTCTTATGTTTAAGCCTTTAAGCCAGTTTCTGGTTTATCTTCTTTGTTGTATAAATTTGTGTGTTCCTTTGTAAACTATATTAGTGTGACACAATAGTTTTTCTAGTTACTAAAACAACTTCACTGTCCCAGCCCCTCAACGGTGTTCTATTTCACATTTTATAGGTTTTTCTCAGATTTCTGTTTTCCATTAATGTCTAGAGTATTTTGTTTTACTCAAATTAAAAACATATAAACAGAAAGCTCTGAAATGATTTTGAATTTCATGAAATTCATTTATTAATTTAGGATATTTTATGTTTCATGTTAGATATATTCATTCAAAAACATGGTATATCTTTCTACTCAGAATGTATATTACATTCTTTAAAAAAAATGAGAGAATTGATTTCAAATATATGATGACTTGTGTAACTTGCACCTTTGGGGGCCATAAGAGGGAGAATCTACAAGGCTATTGAACATATTGAGAACTGACCTCCCTGCTTTACAATGGAGCAACTACATTTGATTGTTGGAAGGTGGAATGCGTTTCTTGGCTAGAACTCTCTCTCAGGACTTCTAACCTCAATAGGATGAAAGCCATAGCACTGACCGGCATCCTGCTGGACAGGGCAGGTTTTGGGGTTAGATCAGCCTCAGCTTTTATTCAGCTCTACCATCTAGTGGTTATGTGCCCTTGAGTTGAGTGTCCTTAAATTCCTCAAGCCTCCGTTCTCTTTTCTGTAAAATAAACACAATACTCATCTCATTGTTGTAGGGGTTAAATGATCAAAGATCTGCAAAGCACTTAGTGCCTACAAGAGGACAGTTTCTTGGAGATAAAGGATGTTGCCTGTGTGTTGCCCATTATCAGCATACGACAAAGAAGAGCAGGCCAGGCCCCCATTGCCCCCCTGCAAGTACCGGTGGCTGGAGCCTTGCAGGTCTATATTTTACAAGATATACCTATCGACTCCAGCTGGTAGTTTGCCAGAAGGACTGACTTTCCTAGCATGCAGTTTGAATTTGTCATCTGGGAAGCACTCACATCTTCATAGTTCACATCAGGGAAAGAATCCAAGCCCGCCTTTCTGTTTCTACCACTCTTCAGGAACTTGCAGAGTTTGATGATGACCTCCATGTCCAATCCCAGGGTGCCTTCTGAGTCCTCGAGGCATTTTCTGGATCTCTCCTACAGCAGATTCAGCTGAGCATTTCCTCCTTAAAGTCCTGAGCTTCCCTCCTAACTTTCTGATGAACTTTTTCTGGTTGATGTCCTTCACCCAGTCTTTACCCATCAGCACCCGCCAGGATTCTGTCCTTGGTCCCCTGCCCTTCTCCTTTAAGCTCTTCTTAAGTGATTTCACCCATGGTCGTTGTCTATGAGTCCCTGAAGACTTATACTGGCCTTTTAATCTCTGTCAGTTTCATATTTCAACTCTTATTTGGGCATTCACTTATGAGGTGTCCATATGAATTTAAAAACTGATATGTCCAACATTAAATAAATCTCCTATATCTTTTGGCCTCATATACATACCCCCAAATGACTTTATCTTCCTTCTTATTGCTAATTCAGTTAATGAGATCACCATCTAGTCAATTCCCAAACCAGAAATCAATCCAGCAACAATCCCTGCTTTTTTCCACCATATAGCTTTTCCCCAAGCCTCGCTGATTTCCTCTCTCAGACATGCTCATCCCATCTACAACCCTCATTCGGGACTTCAGCATCTTTACCTGAACCACTGTGATACAATTTAAACTTCTTGGTGCCAAGTCTGTCCTTCAAGACTGCCTCTCCACTCATTTTCTACCACATTCCTCCTCCTCACAATTCATGATCTAGTTAGAGTACATTGTGGTTTCCCCAGATCAGAAAACCATATCATGCCTTTGTGCCAATCTCTTTACTGAGAGAATTCTTCCCATCTGTCATTGCTTGGCTATCTCTTACTCATTGTAGTGGGCTGAATGGTCTCTCCCCTAAAACAGATCCTTCGGGAGCCTGAGAATGTGGTCTTATTTGGAAAAATGGTCTTTGCACATACAATTAATTTAGGATCTTGAAATGAGAGCCACCTGGATTTTCCAGGTAGGCCCTAGAGTTGATAACAAGTGTCTTTTTTGAAGAGGAGCAGAGAAACAAAGACAGCCCAGTGAAGATAGAGGTGAAGGTTGGAGCTGTGCTGCCACAAACCAAGGAAATGCCTGGGGCCACCAAAAAGTAGAAGAGACTAGGAAAAAATATCCCCTAGAACCTTTAGAGCACACCCGGTCTTGCTTGACCGGGTTTTGGAGTTCTAGCCTCTAAAACTGTTGAAAAGTAAATTTCCATTGTTTTAAGTTGCTATGTTTGTGATAATTTGTTATGCCGGCCCTAGGAAACTAATATACTCACGCTTTAGAATTCAGTTCATTATCTCCTCCAGGAAGTCCTCCCTGATTTCCTCCTATCATCACTCCCCTCCTGCAAGCATGCGTGTGTATGTGAGTGATAGTTGCTCAGTCATGCCTGACTCTTTGCAACCCCATGGGTTGTAGCCTGCCAGGCTCCTCTGTCCATGGAATTCTCCAGGCAAGATTACTGTAGTGGGTTGCCATTTCCTTCTCCAGGTCATGTAAGTATGTATATATGTATATATATATACATATATACACACATACATGCATACATTACATATATACTATTTGAAGAAGTTTGTATATATATATATATATATTTGAAGAATTTAAACCAAATTTATGTCTATCACAATAAATTATGAATTTTCCTATCAAGTTGAGGAGAATAAAATCTAAGTAGATATTATTTATATAAAACATATAAAACACAATACCAAAACTACTATTACTACTAAAAAGCAACAGACATTGGGCACTTACTGTAGGCCAGCTAAGGGTCCAAGTACTTTGCATGTATTAACACTTCCCACAAACTACATGCTCAGTCACTCAAGGACACAAGAGTCAATTGTGTCCTCTGACTCTCTGCTACCCCATGGACTATGGCCCGCCAGGCTCCTCTGTCTGTGAGATTTCCCAGGCAAGAATACTGGAATTGGTTGCCATTTCCTCCTCTAGGGAATCTTCTGGACCCAGGAATCAAATGCATGTCAATCCATGTCTCCTGCATTGACAGGCATGTTCTTTACCACTGAGCCACCTGGGAATGTCCTGATTATTGCTATCTGTTTGTCACAATGGCTATAATAATGCTCCCCACTCTGTACACACAACCCTTGAAGTATGGGTCTACTATTCTGCCTTTTAAGAGGTAGAGTCTATTTCTATTCATTGAATCTGGTCTGGCAAATCTGCTTTGCCTATAGAATGTTGCAGAAGCTTTTTGTGTGTGTGGCTTCTGAGCTGGGTGTCAAAAGACTTTGCAGTTTCTACTCTTTCTCTTTTGGAAAACTTCCACTATCATGTAGAAGTAGACTAGCCTGGCAAGGACTTGTGGCCAAGCGCTAACCACCAGACATGTGAGTGAGCCCATCTTATAACAAACAGACACAGTTGGATTACCAGGTGACTGCAGCTGCATGAATAACCCCATGGAAGTACAGCAGAAGAAACACCCAGCTGAGCCCAGCCCAAATTGCTGACCAAAAGAATCACGAGAAAAGTAAATGGTTGTTGTTTACAAATTCTTTGGAGACTCGGCCGGGCGCCAGGCGACTTGAGGGTGGAGAGACCGGTGCGGAAACCCTGAGCTATCTGTCATTTACTCCATCATTTATAGTGATGCAACAGGACAGAGAAGAATGGATAAAAATATTGGCGAGCAACTCAATAAAGCTTATGAAGCCTTTCGACAGGCATGCATGGATAGAGATTCTGCAGTAAAAGAACTACAGCAAAAAGTTCATTAAGAAACTTCAACAATGCTGTGCCTGTTCTAGGAACACTGGGAAATACAGAATTAGGGAATAGGAATATTGAGATATTCTTGCGATAAGACAGAGACAGACTTTGTGCTAATTTGATCATCGTAATGGAGTGTTCTCAAATATCAGACTGAGAACTATGAGCAGAGAATACGTGAGCAACAGGAACAGCTGTCACATCAGCAAACGCTCATTGACAAGCTCAAGTCACAGTTACTTCTGGTGAATTCCAGTCGAGATAACAGTTGTGGCTATGTTCCCCTGCTTGAAGACAGTGAAGCAAGGAAGAATAATTTGACTCTTGATCAGCCTCATGATAAAGCAAAATCAGGAATACCAAGAGAAAAAGAATCAAAGGGTGGCCACACTTCGAGTGGCTGAAATTCTAATTGAAAGCCTACCACCATCCTGGCTGCAAGAACCAGAAAGGAAAATGAGCCCAGAATAACAGCTGTCACCAGAGAGGGAAGGAGCCCCAGAGAGGAGAGAGCAAGAGGTAATGAACTCAAAGTTCTGTGTTTAAACTAAGCCTAAGTCTCTGGATCTCCCCAAAACCAAGGGTGTGTGGGCACACTGGAAGCAGCTTGCAGCTAAAGCATAAAGGAGTGAGCTGAGACCTGAGCTGCTGCTCTTCAGAGGAGGGGCAGTGTGGAGTCTGCATCCAAACCACTTAATTACCTGGTGAAAACAAAAACATCAACACCCTTTGGCACCATAAAATAATGTCTCCCCAGTGTGATATTCACAGTGTTTGGGGTATAGTCCAAAATTATTCAACATATGGTAAGAAGACAAGAGGTTTCCTCTCCAAGGAAAGAAACTTCACCAAGGAGTCTTGGCATTCCTTTATTCCATGAAAGGAGCTATATAGAGAAGACTTTCTGGGATCTGAAAGAAGAATTTCATGGAATATGCATGCTAGCTAAAGCACAAAAAGATCACTTAAGCAAACTTAATGTACCAACCACTGCAGCTGAGACACAGTGCTCTATGCCTATACAGTGTACGGATAAAACAGATAAACAAGAAGTGCTGTTTAAGCCTCAGGCAAAAGATGATATAAATAGAGGTGCACCATGCATCACATCTGTCACATCAAGAGGACTGGGCCAAGATGAGGAAGACACATCTTTTGAATCACTTTCTAAATTCAATGTCAAGTTTCCACCTACGGACAATGACTTGACTTTCTTACATAGCACTCCAGAAAGACCCGATGTCCTTGGTTCTGTCACAGCTGAGACTGTGTGCCAGGATCAATTTAATATGGAGCCCAGAGACAATCCAGGAAACTTTGTCAAAACAGAAGAAACTTTATTTGAAATTCAGGGAATTGACCCCATAGCTTCAGCTATACAAAACCTTAAAACAACTGACAAAACAAAACCCTCAAATCCTTGTATTAGGACATCTCTGGACAGAGTTCCGTGTTTGCCACCTGGAGACCATAATGCATTATTTGTAAATACATTCCCACTTCAGGACCCATCTGATGCACCTTTTCCTTCACTCGATTCCCCAGGAAAAGCTATCCGAGGACCACAGCAGCCCATTTGGAAGCCCTTTCCTAATCAAGACAGTGACTTATCAGTACCAAGTGGCACAGGCTCTGAACTGCATATACCTCGAGTATGTGAATTCTGTCAAGCAGTTTTTCCACCATTCATTACATCCAGGGGGGATTTCCTCCGGCATCTTAATTCACACTTCAATGGGGAGACTTAAGATGCATTTGAAAACAGACATCTCAAGTTCTACATGATGATTTTGGGTTTGTAATATTATATATTAATACTTGATTGCAAACTTAGCTCAAGATCATTTACTGAAAAGTCCAGTCACTGCTATTTGAATTTTTTTCTAAACTTAATATCGTAACTGTCTTTTATTGCCTTTTAAAAGATTGTTTTGTACAAAGCTGTAATTCATTGTATTCATGTTTACAGTGTTTATTATGTATGGGATTATGCAATTGTGTAACAATAATTTATGTTTTTTCAAATGTCTAAGCTTATTGCTTGGGTTTCTAGTTAGATCTATTGAATGTGGTGATGTCAAATGTTTATAGGGTTTTTTTAATTTGTTTTCATTTTAAAATTTAGATTATTTATGCATTGGGTGTTCTTTTTGAATAAACCTATAATAGAGAATAGCAGACAAGATAAATATCTGAGTAAATACCAAACTTAAGACATTTTTTGCTTAGTGATAAAAATCACTGGTGGGATTATTTAAAAACTTTAGTTTTTTTTTAATAATAGACATAAGTTTAATTCTTTCTGTATGTATAGCTACATGATGAAGTTAGTTAAATATTAAGAGTTACTTATGTTGTGATAGTTAATGTGTTCTTTGTTCCTGAATAAAAAAATAAATCACATTTGGGGGAAAAAGAAAAAACACAAATTCTTTGGAGTGGTTTCTTTTAAAGAAATAGATACCTGATAAATAATCTCCATGTTGCAAATAAAAACACAGAGGCACAGAATGGTTGAATAATTTGCCCAAATTTTCACACATAATACAAGATTAAGCCATGATTTGAATCCAGGTACCAATGAACCAAGCTTTTATAAAATTAATCTCCATTCAAACACTCCTTTCAGTTTGCAGTTAGCATCTATCCTAGACAAATGCATCAACATTTTTGTGGCCATAAAAATGTCCTTTAATAGAATATAATGCAAGTCAACTGCAAAGTGAAACTATAATTTTTTTAAGTAGACTTTATGAAATAGGATAAATATGTATAATTTTAATTGGTTTTTTAAAATACTAAATTTGGATTTTGTTTTTTAAAAGTGATATTGGAGAATTGCTAGAATCACAAACAGAACCACTGACTAAGAGCATTAATTTGCCAAAAATTAAAAAAGGTATTTCAGAAGAAGATGGTTTAATTATTGTGACAGAACTGTTAATTGCCAGCCAATATTTATTCCCTTCTCACTGACAGCACCCAATTGTGTTCAAGGTGATGATGTGCTCAGTTTAAAAAGTTTCACATCTCAGACTCCTTTGCAGCTAGGAGTAGCCATGTATCTCATGTATCTCATTTTGGACATGTATCTCATTTTGTAGCCATGTATCTCATTTTGGACAATGAGATATAAAAGTCTGCTTGTGGGGTGTCTGTGGAAAGTTATTGTTTTCCTGATAAGTAAGGAATAGACTAACCTGGTGTGAACATTTTTGCTGAGTTCCACCCCCTTTTTTGAGTTGGGACATGGATATGATGCATGGAGGTGCTCTGGCCACTTGACGGGAACAAGAAGCCAGAGGAGTCACATCTGTGATGTTCCCTGTGGGTAGTGGGGCCCCAGCCTCACTATTTGCCTTGGTGCTTCTGTCCTATGAGAAAAATAAACTCTTAGCTTGTTTAAATTGCTAAATTGGGTTTCTGTCAAGTGCAATTCTTATGGATACAAATAGCAACACATTAAGGGAAGCCCTGTGAATGATAGCTCAAGCCACCTTTTCTAAACATAGCAGTATTGCAAAGCACGTCCTGTCATACTATCACACAATTTTATTGGAAACTTTATACTTCCAAAGCTATGACAAACCTGGACAGTGTATTAAAAAGCATAGTCCACAGTCAAAGCTGTGGTTTTTCCTGTAGTCATGTATGGATGTGAGAGTTGGACCACAAAGAAAGCTGAGTACTGATGAATTGATGCTTTCAAATTGTGGTGCTGGAGAAGACTCTTGAGAGTCCCTTGGACAGCAAGGAGATCAAACCAGTTAATGCTAATGGAAATCAACCCTCAATATTCATTGGAAAGACTGATACTGAAGCTGAAGTTCCAGTACTTTGGCCACGTGATGCGAAGAGCCAACTCATTGGAAGAGACCCTGATGCTGAGAGAGATTGAGGGCAGGAGGAGAAGAAAGCAACAGAGCATGAGATGGTTGGATAGCATCACTGACTCAATGGACACGAGTTTGAGCAAACTCCAGGAGACAGTGTAAGACAGGGAAGCATGGCATGCTGCAATCCATAGAGTTGCAAAGAGTCAGATACAACTTAGCAACTGAACAACAATACTTCCAAAAAGTCAACAATAGATTTACTGTTTTTAAGCAAACTTTTCATTTAAGTATAATACACATGGAAAAGTTCACTAGATTTATATTTGTTTGTTCTCAAACATAATTACATCCTTGCTACTATAACCTTACTAGGTTTCCTTGGTGGCTCAGCAGTAAAGAATCTGCCTGAAATTCAGATCTGGCAGGAGCCCCAGATTCGATCCCTGGGTCAGGAAGATCCCCTGGAGGAGGAAAGAGCAACCCACTCCAGTATCCTTGCCTGGAGAATTCCAGGGACAGATAAGCCTGTCAGGCTTCCAGGGGGTCACAAAGCATCAGACATGACTGAGGGACTGAGCACAATTATAACCTAAATTTTAGTAAATATTGGATAAATTTTTTCAGAATATTTTGCTTCATTTCTCACCATATAGTTCCAATAAAACCTTTTTTTACTTTTTGCATGAAATTTTGCCTTTCCTTAAGTGGATTCACTTCAAAATGTTTTTTCTTTTTTCCCTTGTTCACTTGTTCTTGAATAATGATATCCTGTATCTCTTCCAGAAAGTGGTAGATCTGAGTAGATAAAGATATAGAATATTTGAATAATATAGTTAATTGTTATAGATTTTACTCTATAAATGGAGACTGTACACTGTCCTCTTATGTCTCCTGGATAGTCCCAAACATAAAGCATGTTCTTGCCCACAAGCAAAACCTTAGGCAATCTCAGTGAAATCAGGATTTTACACATCACATTCTCTGATCATATCCCAGTGAATACAGAAAGCAATAATATTTTTTAAAACCCTTCAAAAAAAAATCACTGAGGAAAACAAGCCTGTACTATTTGGAAATTAAACAATCTCTCATGAATTAACTGGATCAAAAAAAGGAATTGAGAACATTTCACATCGAAACTTAAGGACAGAAAAAAAATCAGAGGAAATTTTACAGTAAGTAAAATATTTTAAATTAAAAATAAAGTGAAAAAACTCACTTAAGTAATCAGTTTATGAATTAGAAAAAGGCTATGCCACACACACACACGTGCATTGCAGGAAGGAATTAATAAAGTAAAAGTTGCAAATAATGAGATAGAAAATGGAAAATGATATAAAGGTAAACCCAAAAGTGAGTCTTAAAAACAACCAAATAAATAGACTCCCTTCAAATCTGATTTAAAAAAAGAAAAGAAAAAACAAAGCAAAAAAGCCAAAAATATTAGAAATGAAACACCAGTTACAAGCACAGACCCCATGCTATACACATTTATGGCAGTAAACTTGATAATCTAGAGGAAAATTGATAACTTCTAGAAAAAGATAGACTACCAACAATAGAAAAAAATCTAAACCAACTAAGAATCAGGAAAGAGTTGTAGCAACAAAACTACTGCCCTTAGGAGGTGGTCCACAGTTTCTGAGAAGAAAATGAAACAAATGGCATACATAAAAGACAGAGGTTGTTACTGTTGTTCAGTCGCTAAATTGTATCCGACTCCTTGCAACCCCATGAAACTGCAGCATGCCAGGCTCCCTGTCCTTCACCATCTCCTGGAGTTTGCTCAAACACATGTCCATTGAGTTAGTGATGCCATCCAACCATCTCATCCTATAGCCTCTGTCTCCTCTTGTTCACAATCTTTCCCAGTATCAGGTTCTTTTCCAATGAGTCGGCTCTTTGCATCAGGTGGCCGAAGTATTGGAGCTTTAGCTTCAACACCGGTCCTTCCAAAGAGTATTCAGGGTTGACTTCCTTTGGGATTGACTGGTTTGATCTCCTTGCTGTCCAAGGGACTCTCAAGACTCTTCTCCAACACCGTGGTTTGAAAGCCTCAGTTCTTCACTGCTCAGTCTTCTTTATAGTCCAACTCTCACATCCATACATGACTACCGAAAAAAACCATAGCTTTGACTATATGGATCTTTGTCAGCAAAGTAATGTCTCTGCTTATTAATATACTGTCTAGGTTTGTCAAAGCTTTTCTTCCAAGGAGCAAGCATTTTTTAAATTTCATGGCTGCAGTCACCATCTGCAGTGATTTTGGAGCCCAAGAAAACAAAGTCGATCACTGTTTCCACGTTTCCTCATCTATATGGCATGAAGTGATGCGGTGGGATACCATGATCTTAGTTTTTTGAATGTTGAGTTTTAAGCCAGCTTTTTCACTCTTGTCTTTCATCTTCATCAAGAGGCTCTTTAGTTCCTCTTCAGTTTCCGCCTTTAAAGCAAGGATATTTTTTTTAAAAAAATCTACCTCTGCTTCACTGACTACGTTAAAGCCTCTGACTGTGTGGATAACAACAAACTGAAATATTTTTGAAGAGATGGGAATACTAGACCACTTTACCCATTTCCTGAGAAACCTGTATACAGAGCAAGAAGCAACAGTTAGAATTGAACATGGAACAAGAGACTGGCTCAAAATTCGGAAAGGAGTACGTCAAGACTGTATATTGTCACCCTGCTTATTTAACTTATATGCAGAGTACATCATAGGAAATGCTGGGTTGGATGACTCACAAGCTGGAATCAAGATTGCCTGGAGAAATATCAGCAACCTCAGATATGAAGATGATACCACTTTAATGGCAGAAAAGACAGAAGAGACCAGTGTAATTCCAATTACTGTGAAATACAATTCTGGGAAGAATTAATGTTTTATTATATTAAATCTTCCTATGTAGAAACATGGTATGTCTTACAAATAATTCCTTTACTTTTCTTTTAATAATATCTAAGAGTTGTCTTGTTATAAATGCTGAACTTTCCTTGTTAAATTTATTCTTGGTGGTTTTCTTGATCTTGTGAGCATTGTCTATGTCCCGTTTCTATTTCTAATCATTTACAGTAGGCATAGAGAAAACCATTGATTTTAGTATATTTATCTGGAGTCTTAAGACCGTAGCAAAATCTCTTCGATTTTATTTATTTTTTAGCACCCCCACGCCCTCCACGTGCAGGCCTAGTGCTGGGACACAAGTGTGCGCGGCCAGGTGAGCTTTCCAAGGCTCGGTTTGAGGTCTTTCTTATGAGCAGCTTTCACAACTTTCACTGTGAGACACTATCTCCAGCTTCTTTAAAAGGTTTCAGCAAGTGCCAGCCTCCAGGCTCTCTTTCAGCTCGGAATGCGGCGGCTCTTCCCGGCTGATTTCTCATCTGAGGGGTTCAGGGTCCGCCTAGAGGGCCAAGCGCCCCTAATCGGAACCCCTCTCTGGCGCGGAGGATGCTGGCTCCCAGCTCATGGCCCTTCTGCGCCAGCGCACGTGGCTCACAGGGCAAACTCCCACTGCTCTCCAGGCCCTCCCTCCGTTGGCCGCCACTCCACCCCGCTGCACGCGGCCTCGGGCGGGCTCAGAAAGTGCCTGCGGCTTGCCCCAGGGGGCCTGCCGCCACCCTTGACCAAAGGGCTCCACGCATCATTTCTAGCTCATCTCCAGGCTCTGGGCACCGTCGATGTGGAGACCAGCTTGGGCCTTGGAGCGGAGATCCGGTGCAGGGCTCCACTCTGCCAACAACCACCAGTGCGCCCTCAGCCAGGCCCCAGTCTTGTCCCAGCCACAGCTTCCCTCCCACAGGGTCCGGGCTGCAGCAGAGCAAGCGGTGTGAACCGGCCGGCCGAGGGAGGGCTGCGAGCCGGGCCTGTCCTCCAGCCTTCGGCCCACCGCCCGCCCCGGCGCCCTCCTCTAGGAGTGGCTTGCTCGTCCGGCTCCCCAGCTTGCATCAAGCCAACCAGCACGACCGCGCCTGAACCGTGGGAGACGGCTGCCCGGGGGCCGGGCAGGAGTCGGGGCCAACTCCTGGGCTAAGGGTCGCGGACGGCGCAGGCCTGGCGGGCGGCTGGAAGAGACCTCCCTGCTCCCCGGGGGCGCGCCGCAGGTGGCCTCCGCGGGCTTGCGCCCTGGCCCGGCCTTGCGCTCCCTGCCGGCGGCGCGATCGCAAAGCGTCTGCTGCCATCTGGTGGCGGCGTCCGGGCAGCTGCGGCGCCGAGCGGGGAGGCAGGGTCAGGAACACCCCCATCAGGGGCAAAACACATCCAAGAAGCCCCACGCCTCTGCCCCCGGCGCGGCTCCGATTTCCCCAGGCAGAACGGGAATGGCTGGCATCCCAAGAGAGGCAGTGTGGTGCAGTGGTCGGCGCCTGGACTTTGATGCCCGCACCTGACTGGAGCTTTGGCCCGCCTCACAGGGGCCCTTTACTCTCTGGACAGCGTTTTCTCATCTGTAAAGTGGGGCTGAAAGAATTACGGATCTCGAGGAGGCTTCGGATTGCCTTCTTGGCAGACCCATGTCAAGCCCCAGACCCATAGGCTCATAAAACCCCAAACCGCTTCTCACACAGTCTCTTTGCGTCATTCTGCCACTCGCCAGTGTGAAACCTTGGCCATGCCATGAATTTTCTGTTTCTCCATCTGAAAGTGGAGATGCCGGTTCTGGCTTCCACTCCTGGTGACTGGCGCGAAGATGACTCCACCTCTCTGTGGACAGGTGCGCCTGACGTCTCTGGCCTTCTGAGCCTTCCGCCTGTGAGCTCCCAGAGGCGGATTCTCCATTCCCTGCCAGAACGAAAAGGTTCTCCCAGCTGCTGCCCAAACCTGGAGGCTCTGCCTGGGGGCTTGCACCTTGGAGACAAGACCTGTTTTCTGAACTAAGAGAATCTCGGTGCCTTTTCTGGGAAGCACAGACCAGTGGGTCTAAATTAGGGGTCATGCTCTCTGACCCCTTCCAAAAGAGGCCACACTAAAGCAGATACCTCACCCTTGCGGTAATATGATGGAATACTTAAGGAAAGCAAATTCTCCTTAAAAAAGAAAAAGCATCTTGCATTCATTCGTGCACCAGGCACAGTCCCTGAGACTTGGGTCCGGTGTGTGTGTGCACATGTCATGTCTTACACATGGTTCGAGGAGGCACACAGCTTTAATCACTTCCCAGAGAGCAGCAAGGGGGTGCCTAAAGAACAGCGTGACAGCCAGGTACACCAGCAGGGAGGGGGCGTCTCAAGCAGCCGCTGCCATTCTGCCTGTGAAAACACCGGCTCCAATTCAAAGGTATCAAATATTTGCCTAGCTGTTCAACATTTCTTTAAATAATATACTCACGACTAATTCATATCTAGAGTCGTTGTCTTCTTGTCTCCCAGGCCTCCCTCCTGGATTAGCGCATCTTGTCTATTCTGGGAGAAACTTGTCCTACATTCTAAAAATAGATCACAGAGTCTGGACACCGGCATGCACAGTCAGTGGAGGCTTCGTAATGTATCCTGAGGTTTGTCTGCTTGGGACAGTGGCATCACAGTGCGGGGACACATTGGTGAAACAGCCAGGCATGGGCACCTGGAGGAGGCCTTTCTTCTCCACTGTGCTGTGCTTAGCTGTTCAGTGGTGTCCGACTCTGTGACCCCGGGAACTGCAACCCGCCAGGCTCCTCTGTCCTTGGAGATTCTCCAGGCAAGAATACTGGAGTGGGTTTCCATGTCCTCCTCCAGGGGATTTCCCAACCCAGGGACTGAACCAGGTCTCCCCCATTGCAGGCAGATTCTTTACCGACTGAGCCACCAGGGAAGCCCTTTCTCCTCCACAGCTGGGTCTGTTTTCCTCTTGGAGTTAGAAGCCCAGGAGACCTGTGAATCAGCCAGGTTCCGCAAGGAGCAAGTGGCATGCTCACCTGGATCATTCAGGGATCGTGAACCTGGGCAGGAGGGTCAGCACTCGGGTCTGGGGGCGGAGGAGTTACTGGCCCTGGATGCTGAGGTGGCCGTGCAGAGAGTGCCATGTGACAGGTGTGATGACCTCAGGAGGGGGAGCCTGGGGAATGGCCAGCCCAAGCTCTCTCCTCTGCCCCCAGGCTCCGACTGGGCACCACCCTCACCCAGGCCCAAACCCATCCAGCAGGCAGTGATGTGCCCCATGTGTTCGTCTGGGGGAGCCTGTGTGGGGAGGTGCGCAGAGCAGGGAGGGGAGGGTGACGGAGGGTCTACAGGACAGAAGGGAGACCTTAAGCTTGAAGAAAGGGAGGTCCCTTTCTTGGGGCCTCTCCACCCTGCTAGCCCCCTCCTGCCTCTCCTTGTCCTGGCCCTCATTTCTCTCTTGCTGTCTCACCATCTGTATCTCTCACTGACTCATCTCTTTGTTTTTCTCTAGATATATCCCCCCTACTTTCAGTTCTGAGAAGGGGGAGGGTAGGTTGGATACCGGGCGCATTTCCCACATGATCCACTTACAGGGGGGCCAACAGCTCCTTCCACTGTGGCCTGTGCCAGCAAGAGGAGGGGAGCAGTCAGGCCCCGGAGACGGGCTTCATGCGATCCCCTTCTCTGCCTTCTTAGAACTCCACTAGATGAGGCCAATCAGCATTACTTTCCTTTTATTACTTCAGTGACTTCCTCATCCGCTTCTTCTCATCCTTCTTGCTGCTTTCTCCTGGAATTATCGAGGAGGAGCTCCCTGCTCCTTGTACCACCTCTAGCCACCACGCAGCCTTTTCTGAGAGCGCCTGCTGTGTGCCCAGCCTGCATGAATGCTGTTGGATGCCAGTGCTCAGAGCACATGGTCCAGAAGGGGGCAGGACCCCACCACCCTTTCACTCAGTCATTTGACAGGATGCACCGCTGTGCGTGGGCTCCAGGCCAGACCCTGGATGTATAAATAGCAGTGAGGGATTTAGTGTCTGCTCTTGACAGAACAGATGGGGAGGTTGTGTAGCATAGTGGATAAGCCCATGCAAACCTCAGTTTCCTCTTCTATGAAAGAGGGGTAAAAATCCTTACCTCACAGATTTGCTTAGGGGTGACACACGATCACAGGGGGTTGTTATTATTAAGTGGCAGGCAGGGACTTCTGTGTCCCCCCTCCCCGCCCCCACACACATAAAAAGTATAACCTCAAATAGAAGGGGGGCCCTCCCAGGTTGGGGGGTGAGGAGGTAGCAGAGAGAGGGGCTGGGGATGCAGACCTCAGACAGCAGGAGGACCAAGGGGAACAAATGTGGACCCCGGCCTCCAACTTCAGCTCTGGTTTTAGACAGGATAAAATAACTCCCAGAACAAATATCCCCTCTACGAGGTATGTCCGCTTATGAGAGAATCCCTAGTAAAAGACCTTACCACAGCTCAAAGAAATCCTCCTCATCTAATCTGGTGATGATCTATACAGCCAGCTAGTGCAAAATGAATGTTCATGTTATTTTTGCTTATTTTTAAGTCCATTGGGTGCATCGTGGCTGATCGCTGTTCTGACATTTTTCTTCCCTCATTAAGAAAGATGCCCCTGGTGAGTTACCTGTGCTGGGCTCAGAGCAGAAAATAAATATCGCTGGCATCCACTTTCTCTTGCTCTCTGGGCGTAATTAAGAAAAAGGCACCTGCAGAAGAGAAAGAACAGAGTTGAAAACAGCCTAGTGGTTACTCTTCATAGAACTCCCTGGTCTGTGAAACCACATGAGTGTTCTTCCTTTCCAGAATAGCTTTCCTAACTATCACCTACCAACCCTCCAACCTTGAACCCTAGCACTTCCCTTTGGGGACTTCTCCTATTCACTGTAGTTTTTTTTTTTTTTTCCTTAATACATTTCTCATCCCTTCTGTGGTAGAACTGATGCTTTCAAACTGTGGTGCTGGAGAAGACTCTTCAAAGTCCCTTGGAAAGCAAGATCAAACCAGTCAATCTTAAAGGAAATCAACCCTGAATATTCTTTGGAAGGACTGATGCTGAAGCTGAAGCTCCAACACTTTGGCCACCTGATGTGAAGAGCTGACTCATTGAAAAAGACCCTGTTGCTGGCAAAGATTGAAGGCAGAAGGACAAGAGGGTGACAGAGGATGAGATGGTTAGATGGCATCACCAATTCAGAGGACGGGAACTTGGGGAAACTCCAGGAGATAGTGAAGGACAGGGAAGCCTGGTGTGCTGCAGTCCATGGGGTCGTGGAGGACACAACTTGGCGACTGAACAACAACAGCTCGAAGAGGCTGGCCCGGGCAGCTGCAGTGAGAAGACAGGCAGGCACCCTGCACAGGTGTGTGTGGACGGGTGTTGGAGAGGTGGCCAGGCCCTGTGGCTGGACTGGCCTCCTTGGGATGCATCCCCTCCTCCATGGCCCTAGGGTTGTCCAAGAGCTAGTGGAGAACGGTTTGAGGTGACTTGCAGCTTAAGCGAGTCAAAGTTTCAGCTCTTGGCACGTCCCCATTCTCCCTGGTATTCAGTGGCAGGTGTTCGGTTTTATAAATGGCATCAGTGCTTGGCTCCTATGGTGGCAGCAAGCTCTAGCTTCTAAAACCCACTCCCAGTTGTCTCTCTCTTTGACTCTTTGTGGCTTGCATGGCCTGCCTTACAGGTGTCTGTAGGGCACAGGTAAGACCTTGCTCCCAGAAAACTCCCCTACCCCGCCAGCCCTTGGGTTTCTCGACCCTGGCTGTGCATGATTGTCACCTAGGGGGAGTCCATAAAGCTGGCAGCTGTCCCGCCCCCCACTCCGGAACAATGGCACATACATCACTCGGTTTCTTGGCTCAGGCACATCTCAGATGCCCATGGTGCCCTGCATGCCCAAGGGCAGAATCTAAACCCAGGCGGGGGGCTGCTTCTGGAGCGGTCCTGAGCCAGAGGATTAAGGCCCCGCGTGGACTGACTCTCCAGCACAGCCACAGCAGAAATACCAGTTTGAGGAGACAGGCAGCAGGTGACCAAGATCGTCACCAGAACTTTCCAGACATCAGAGATGCTGTGGGTCAGATCAAGTTAAGACTGAGCTCCAAATCCAGCCTGCTTGAATCGGTGACAACTGTTGGCCGAGTTCCTGCTAGGGTTTCG